GTTTTCGTTTCCCAAACATTGGTTAGATGGTCAACTGTATGTTTAATTATTGTTACATCCTTGACATTTGATCTTCACAACTTTCGTAATGACACTTTTCTTGTTCTTTCAGGTCCCATCTAGCTTGTTCAGAAATCCATAGATAGCGCATCCTAATTCTTATATGGATGAGGTAATTTTGCCTTTGTTCGGTGTTGCATTCATTCTTAAACGTGACCATTGATGCTGCTCATTCATTTATGATTTAACAATAAGGAGAGGTGGAAATGGGATGAACGGCCGGGAAAGAAAAAGTTTTTGGGAACAGACTACAGGTTTGGCAAATAATTTGCTGACATTGTACGTGACATTAAATGTGTATTATCATTCTTTCAACTGCCATTTAAGGCCTCTACTTGCTGTCGAGTTTAAACCAAATTTGAGAAAGAAAAAAATGAGAAAAGTTGAAATATACAATTAGTTATTGAATCTCAATTGTATCTGTTATACGAAATCTACTCTTGGTTCTGCTATTTTCCTTCATTTGCACTCTGAACTAACGAAAGTCATATGATCAATGAACTGCAGTGAGCATCCAAGTTGGCTTGAATTTTTCTATACTGTTATTGATTGTCATTTGTTCGCTGACTCAATTTTTGTGTGTTAACTGCATTTGTACTTTGAGCTGACTGTGGATACCGAATGGAAAATTCAAGTTCATTGAAATTCCGAAGTGCTTTTCTTCAAATTTGATATCTTTGATTTTGTAGCAAATGCATATGAACCATAGGTTAACTTGACTTATTGCAGTCACATTCTCCTGATTTCAATGGCAGAAGTAGCGCCTGCTGAAACACATGCTAGCCGCAGCACTGCCTACTTAAATCCTGCACATGTTGCCCCTTTTCATCATACTATGGATTTATGACTGTTTTGATATGTTTATTCTGAACCTTCCTTCATGCTGCCATTGTCGTAATATGCTGCAGTTTTCCTCTTTTATCTCCATATTCTATGCAAACGACAAAATATTTTTAAATAGTGTTACATGTACAAATTGATAGGACAAAGACTTTTCTATTCACACGTTATTCATTTAAATTTATAAAGCATTTATTGAGTTTATTAGTGTATGGCACACCAATTTGTACGAAAGAGTTTCTTCAATATTTTCAGCTCAAAAATCAAGCCGGCTTTTTCAACTGCAATTTTTTAAACCCTTAGGAAGGTGGTTGGTCGATTTCTTGGCTTGTTCTGTTGCCGCTCTTTAGAAAATTATTTAATGTTATTTTAAGCTTATTTTGTGTTGGTGAGAATCTCAAACTTTGAATTTAGTTTAGAAACTATAAAATAGCTGGAGAATATTCAAAATGTCAAAGCTCATCTCATTTGATCAAGTTTTACCTTGATCAAAATTTCAACAAGAGAATTAGTCATTATATGTGTTCCAAATGAAACTTCAATTATTGATGCTGTTTAGTTTAGGTTAATTGGGCAGATTTTTTTTAGTCTTCATTAATTTATGTTCTTTATAATCTTATGTCATTTCCTCTGAAAGTCTCTTTATAACTTATATTTTTAATTGACATTCAAATCTTTACCTACCCTTTTCATTTTTATTCTTTATTTTATCTTGAAAGATGTGTATTACTTGGTCGTTCGTTCCTCGTTTTAGTCCTTTTTTTTTTTTTTTTAAATTTAAAATAAGAGAGGAAAAAATAAGAAATTTAATGTATAACTGAAAAATTGAAAGCACACCAAATATGAAAAAGATGTTTTCATCCTACAATATTTTATATTTGTTCTAAGAAGATAATATAAATAAAATAACTACCACTAAGTGGTCCAACGGTCAATCTGGATTCTTGGGTGTATTATTCAAGAGATTTTAAGTTTAATCTACCTGGGTTGCTAATAAGGGTGGTTATAGCAGAGATTTACCCAGTTCTCAACTGTAGGACCTAAAAATTAGTTGAGATGGCCTGAACACCCTTGATTAAAAAAAAAAAAAAAAAAAAGATAATATAAATGTGTTTTCGCAATTTTACTTTTTAGATATGGTTTTCAAAAGACAGTAATGAATATACTTTTCAAGTTATTTTCATTTTTCAAAGTCATCTTGAAAAAAAAATGAAATGTCAATAATGGAAGTTCTTTTAACGTTAAAAAATCTTTAAATTATATTTTTAAAAACATTCAAATCTTACCAACTTTTTTCATTTATTAAATCTTGAAAATGTGTTTGACATTTCAATTTTTTTACAATAAAAAAAATAGAAATAATATGTATAACTGAAAAACTGAAAGCATACCAAATGTTTTCACCCTCTACTCTATTATAATATTTAATATTTGAAATCCAATCATGAGAGGAGGAAATGGAAAGTGTCAAAAGCCTTAGAGGCTGTACAACATCGTCAACCGTTAGATTGTTGGATAACCATTTCTTAAGCTTATTTCTATACGTTTTTCCCAAGCCGTGCATTATTTATTCTTCTTCTTTTTGGTTTTCCTAATCAAGGCCAATCAAAAACTTTGAAGTAAAATCAAATTTTTGTCACATGCTCAATTATTGGTGGGTTTCCATTTAATTACTTCCACGTAATAAGAGTAAGATTTTTTATTACGTAGTCCCTTTCGTCGCCCCCCAGGAGTTGCTGCTACCTACGTTTTATGGCTTCATAGGTCAATATACTTAATATATTAGTTTATGGAATGGCTGATATGTTATTCAGATTATAATGTTTCAGATTTTGAATTTGGAAAAGAAAAATTTCACTCTTGATATCATATCAAATGTCATCAGATTGACATTTTTTATTTTTAAACATGTTTTAAGACATGGGTTTGACATTTAGTATTGCATTAACTTAGATACATGACTTGGAGATTAATTATTGACTATAAATTTATTTGAATCCAGAGAGAAAATTTAAAAGGTAATTATGGTTTTGTCATCTTAATAACATCAATAGATTAATAATTAGAGAAATCTACCACCCTCGTGCAAATATTGCTACCAAACCATATCTTCAAATGCCCATCAACATCCACTTTTCTTCGTTCATTTTATTAAGAGTTCAATGAATTAATCCCCTTTAAGTATGACATAATAATAAAATTCTTTTTAAAATTTGGAAATAACAACAATTCTTATGTTATTTAAGTTTTAGATATTAAAACGGTAATATTTACTAATTTATATTAGTGTAAATTTTAACGGCTCACTAAGAATTTATTAATGGTAAAGAGATTTATGTTATTTTAAAAACTTCAGCGTGATTTTGTTATTATATCATATACCTTAGCGGAGTAACTATTTTATAAAATTAGTGGAGACATAATTATTGTGAAATAATACCTTTTCTTCTAGGCAAAAGTTGTAATTAGTTTATGAATTTATCGTTTTTTTTAAATTTAATTTTATGTAATTTCTTCAAACATAAAACCATTTTCTGAATGATTAATATTCTTATTTCTCCTATAAATAATATTTTTATTATTTAAGCTCAAAATATGTAATCAAACAATCAAGCAGCCCATCATTCCAATTTCCACCTCCAATCATAGTGGGCCACTAAGTACAAAATTATTTCTATCTTTTTCTGTTTAGCGCAATGGCTTTGTCCTATTGTCGAAGATTAAAAAAAACCATTATCTGTATGTGGACCATTTCATTTCAGCTCTTTCTGCTAGCCAACAATTATAGACATAATTCTTTTCATCCAGAGGTTTTCATAAGTGACAAATACACCCAATAATAATAAAAATATCTTCTGCTACGAACGATGACTTAATTTATTAATTTTATTTAACTTATTTAAATAAAATTTAAGGGTAAAATAGTATTTTCACAAAATTGAGTGTATTTTTATCACTTTCAGAAACCTCTGGATGCATTTTACCAACTTAAAATTTTTTTTTTTTTTTTTTTTGTTTTCATCAATCTGAATCAATTAATCAAGCAAGTTTTCGTATTGTCCCCACAATTGTCCCAACAGTTTCTGCACTTTCCTCTAGCCAATTGGCATCAATGTTTTTAGAATAGATAGAAGCAGCTTTTGCCTTACGCTTGGGGTTTTATTGATAAGAATTCAAAGTTTTGGATAGAGTAAATTAGAGGCTGTTATATATATATATATAATAAAGAACATGAGGCAAATTCTTTAAACATATAACGTTTAATGTATTCCAACACGGCTGTTAGAGCTTTAATTATCATTAAGGTTTTCTTTATTGAGTTAATCATCTTCACATTATACAAGAAATCTCAAATCAAATTTTAAATTTTAAATACAAAGTGTTGGAAACTCAAATATTTTTAGTTACAATATTGATGATGTGATACTCGTTGTATAATAGACTCAAATTTTTCTAAACATAGAGAAAAAAAAAAATTCCGTTCTGAAGTTTTGGTCAATTATGAATACTAGAATTTACTCCCGTTGAATTTAACAAACGTTTGCATAATCAGTTAATTAAAAAGATTTTTCCGATTAAAAATCAGAATACCCCTCGTTTTAATATTGTCCCATATATGTCTATTTCTTAGCAACTATTACAACTATATGACTTAACCGGTAGACCGTAGACCTAAACCCCAGTTGTAAACCACATAAATATCAATAATTATAGTCAACAATGGCATATACGATCGCCATGTTTGATAAATTCATAGCAAAAGGAGGAATATATGAAAAATAACATTTCATTGACGCATTCTATATCTATATTATCTTCATATTATAATGATGTGAAAGGATTATTAAGGTTTTGATAAATGGGGTTGCTTGAACGACCAGAACAAAACAAAGAGTGTTTTCGTTTAAAAATTGATTTCTATATTAACACACTCTTGACACATGCATGCTGAATTTTGGGACTTCTTCTCAGTTCTTTCTAATCTTATTAATTAATTAATAAATTTTTTTGTTCAACAAAAGCCAAAATGACCTTTCAATTTTAAGTAGATGAGAACGTGTAGCTAAAATAGTTCACCAAATCTTCTTCTTCCTTTTAATCCCCCATCCCCACCAACACCTCTCTCACTCTCTCCATATATATATACAAACATAAAGAAGAGATAAATAAAATCATTCCCTCAAAAAGAAAAACAAATTAAACACTTTCAGTTTCAGCCATGGAAGATCACAATCAAAAGCCTCCCGTTTGTGTTCTTGATGCCTCCAACTACATCGGTTTTTGGATTCTTAAAGGTCTTCTCAATAAAGGGTACACAGTTCATGCAGCTATCCAACCAAATGGTAAGTTCAAAATACAGAACTTACCTCCGTTCTTTGTCGTGAAAATTACCAGCAATTGATCTTGCAGAATCAGTTCTTTCTAAATTTGGTTTTAACTAATGGAGTTTTTTTTTTTGGTTGCAGGAGAGACGGAGATACAGAAAGAGATTAAAGAGATGGAGAAAGTGAATGAGAAATTATTTGTGTTTGAAGTTGATGTTTTGGATTACCACAGCATTCTTGTTGCTTTGAAGGATTGTTGTGCTTTATTCTGCAGTTTGGATAGCCCAGATGGATATGATGTGAGTTAAATATAATAAAAATTTTCATTACTTTTTTTTTTTCCCAGAAATTTTTACAAGAAAAGTGAGGTTTATTCATGGAGGTTTAATTTGAGTTGCAGGATTTACTGGTGGATTTGGAAGTGAGAGGGGTGATAAATGTGGTTGAAGCTTGTGCCCAAAGTGATAGCATAGAGAAGGTTGTGTTCACTTCTTCTTTAACTGCTGCTCTTTGGAGAGAAGATATTGGTTCAGAGATTGTTGTGGATGAAAGGTCTTGGAGTGATCCAGAATTCTGCAGAAAAATGAAGGTTCGATTAATTAATTAATCTAATCTTTGTTAATTATTATGATTAAGGGTTTTGAATTTTGATTAATTTTTAGTACACTTTTGGCCTTGTTTTCCACAAAGTACTTAACTTATATATTAATAATTAGATGATTTCGTTGAAGTTATAATTATCAGTGTTTCTGATTTTCTTCTCCAATTTTACAGTTATGGTATGCTCTAGCCAAGACACTCTCTGAACAGGCTGCCTGGGCCTTAGCCATGGACAGGATGCTATGCATGGTTTCCATAAATGCAGGATTAGTTTTGGGGCCAAGTGTCACTCAACAAAACCCCGGCTCAACCATGTTCTACCTCAAAGGTGCTGCTGAAATGTACGAGAATGGAGTCCTAGCTTTTGTCGATGTAAACTTCTTAGCGGATGTACATATTCGCGCCTTCGAGGATCGATCAACGTGTGGGCGATATTTCTGCTTCAATCAGATTGTGAACACTTCGGAACAAGCTTTTAAGCTTGCACAAAGCTTAAGCCCTTTGATTCCTTTACCCCCAAGGTAAAATTTAAATTTAAATGAAATGTCCCATAAATAAGTTGGGAAAATTTCTAAATAAAATAAAAAATTTTGAAATTTTTTTGTGCTAAAGTTTAGGGTTTTTGTATAAATTTTGCAGGTATGAATGTAAAGGGAGTGAAGTGTATGCAGAGAGATTGAAAACCAAGAAACTAAACAAACTGGTTGAGGATGCTGCTTGCTTTTAAAAGATTTTATTAATTTATGTTTTAATAAATACTAATTAGTGTATATTTTGTTGTTTAATTTGAGAAGTAATTCCAATAAATTTCCTCATATTTCTTTGTTGACAATTTGTATTATAAGAGGCCGAGAATATAATGTAAATGTCAAGGCTTTTGCTTTTGATTGTTTTATAACTTCCAATAAAGATTTGCTCATTTTTTTAAATTTTTTGGTTCAAACCTTGGAATCATCTACCACAATAACATTGTGGCTTACCTGATCTTTTAGGTTTGTAAGGTATTTAATAGACTCTGAAGTTTAGTTGTGCTGCGTACAAACTAACCCGGATTAAAAAAAAAAACATATACATACAATTAACCAATTATCAAACACCATATCAACGTATGTGATATGTACTCTACCAATAAATATATCTATAATTGGATAGTGCACCATATGTATGAAATAATCTCTATTGGCATTGCAATAAACGTTAGTCTTTGACTTTCTTTTGCAAAGTGGGATTGAGAAAAGAAAAAAAGTGGTAAGTCAGAAAATTTTAATACCACTATGTCCAATAGATTTAAGACAAGATAAGATTATGATTAGTTCTTGTGTTGAAAGGATGTGTGGCACTGGCACCCCTTTGTCCAATTGTTTGGCATCCTTCCTTTGTCATTTTCATTTTCGACCCCTACTAGCCTTTTTATTTTGCTTGGACTTTTCGTCACATGGATTATTTTAAGGAGCCCTTGTGAGACTAATGCTTTCCATATGGCACAACAAACAATATAGATGGATCCAAGATTTAATGTTAGAAACAATAAGTTATTATTACCAGGAAAAATAAAATAAATGTTGAACCGTTAAAAATAATATAGGGTTTATAAAGGAATGACTTGATGCTTTTTTTTAATTCCAATTTTGCTTGCACTTGGTTAAAAAAAATTACTAAATTCAAAGGATCATTCAATTTACAAATCATCTTTGTAAAACCAGTTCAAAACAGCTTAACCGGCTTTTTGATTCGGTTTATAACAGGTTTGTCTCAGAATCGGTTTGGTTCCAATTTAGGAAAATTCCTAAACCGGAAATTCAATTCAGGAATTTTTCTTAGTCGGAAATCCGATTTGGTTTAAGAAAAGGGGAAACTGAACCAGTTAACTGGTTTTGAACACCCCTAATCTTTGTTCTTTAAAAATTACAAGAAAATAATGAGAGAAAAAAAAAAAAAAAAAGGCAAACAATCTTGGGCTTGCCTCCATGGACTTGACGCTTGATGGGCCTCCCATATTGTGATTTAAATTTGGACTCTGATTCATTTGGGCTTTTCTGTTGGGCCTATTCAAACATTTGATAAAGAGCACAATTTCTGTACCCAGATGGACCCATGAGAATCCTACCAAGTGAACCCTGGGACCTTGTAATTAAGCAACCTCCAACCCCATCCTGTCGAGCGCGTCCTTGTACGGCACACCAACTGAACTCCTGTCCTGGTGTCTATCAATATCCTGGCGACGTTAGTGTTAGCCACCAATAAAGTTATTACCAGAGGTTGACCAATCGCCTTAGTATCTTCCTTTGAAAACACGATTTGGTATCCCTAGTGTGGCCTCTTAGTCCCCTCTTGCACTTGCATAGTCACACCACGCTCTACGCTGCAATGCTTGGCTGTGAGCGTGGCTAGCTTTTGCGGCACCATTTTCACTCCACCAGTGCTGCCGCTTTGGTTTTTTAAGATTTAGAACTTGAATTGATAATAGAAAGGAGTGGAAAGTGGAAGAAGAAAAGGTAAATTAAAAGTATTAAAAGGGTGGGAAGCAGAAGAAGAAAAGGAAAAAAGATATAAAGTTGAGGGGAGGAGAAGAAGAAAAGAAAAGGAGAGCAGAGGACAGGGGGTGAGTATCGGTAGAAGTGGAGCAAATGGGCTGGGCTAGGCGGATCAACCCTAGCCCGGCCTGCCTAAAGTCGTCAGGTTCAACCCGGCCTAAGTATACCTCGCTGGGTGGGTTGGACCTTCATAGACCAACCTGACGACCCGATGGGTTATTTATTTATTTATTTTTCAAAACCCGTCCAACTCGCCGGGTTGACCTGCGGGTTGGACAAAAAAAAATTTAAAAAAATTAAATTATATATATATATTTTTTTTTTTTTTACAAAAACCCATTTTATCCTTGAAATATAGTCATTTTATATCAATTTGAGAGGTCTTTTTGGTCATTTTCTTTTTTCATTTTTTTTTCTATAAATAGGGCCTAAACTCTCATATTTCCTCACATCCCAAATTCTCTTATTTTCTCATTTTCTCTATTGAAATCTCTCAATCTCTTTGTTGTCAATTTGCTCTCATTTTAATTTTTATTAGTTTTTGCAATTTTCAATTAATATTTCCAATCCTTCTTCTTTAATTATTTATTTCTTTTATATCCAATTTTTTTTTTTTTTTTTCAACTAGAATGAATAGATATTTTCATTCTATCAATTTCAATGATGAAGAAAATTATCCTAGTCCTCCTGAATTTACTAATATAAATGCAGTAGATTCAAACAGTCTCGTTTTTCTATTTCAGAATCCGATACGCCTCATAATATTCCTCCATTCCTCCCCATGCTGCTACAGCTCCTGATGGTTCTAGAAGTCATCCTCGTCCAACTCCATCTCAAGCAGAAGCGGGATCATCAATTGTAGTCGGAATCGACGACAGACACACATAAGATGTTTGAGTGCATTTCGAAAAGTTTTACGAGGTAGAAAATAAAGTTCAAGTGAAGAAAGCAAGATGCAAGTATTGTGGAAATATTTATAAAGCTAATGCAGGTAATGTTACTTTAAAAAGGTATGCTAGTAAATTTATGAATCAAGAGAAACCAATCAAACTCAAATAACTAATATGGGTACTACTTGGTGTTATAATTCTGATGTATATAAGAAACAATTAACTTTATAAATTGTTGCAACTGATCTACCTATTAATATGGCTGAAGATAAATATTTTGAAAGATTTATTAAAAAATCATTTTTTCTAGGATTTAAAAGTTATTCTAAAACTACAACTAGAAATGATTTAATAAAATTGTTTGAGAAAATAAAATTAGAATTAAGGAATAAAATACATAGTTTTCATGTTAACGTGACTCTAACCACAAATATTGGAGTGGTAGAACTAAACAAGATTATATTTATGTGACTAGTCATTATTTTGATAACGAATATAAATTAAATAAATATTTATTGGAATTTAGATTCATGAACGTGGATCACAGTGGTAAACATATTTATAATAAAATTATTGAAGTTTTAGAAGATTGTAATATTGTTCACAAAGTGATAAGTTTAACTTTAGATAATGCAAGTGCTAACAGTAAAGCTATAAGTTTTTTTAAAAGTAATTTTATTTTTTATGACAATTTGAAGTTTTTTTCACTAATCGTTGTGCATGTCACATTATTAATTTAATTGTGAAAAGTGGTATGAAAAAAATTAGAAATAATATTGATAGACTTAGGGATTCTTTAGCTTAGATTAATAGTAATAGAAGAAATGCTGAATTTTAAGATGTTTGTATAAAATCAAATGTCTCCTAGAACTTTTGCATTAGACATGCATGTTAGATGGAATAATACTTATTTAATGCTTGATTTATGTTTACCTTATGCAAATTTAATTAGTTATTTTGTAGTAGATAATAGAGGTTCTCATTATTTGGTAGACAGTGATTGGCATATAGCTCAAAAATTTTATTATTTTCTTAAAAAAATTTTATCAATCCACTTAAAAATTTTCTGGTGTGTATTATCCTACTAGTCCATTGTAATTTCAAATTTATTTAAAAAAAACAGAAACAATGAAATTTTAGCGGGATTAATAGAGACAATGAAATTAAAATTTAAAAAATATTAGAAACTCATTCCTTTTCTTTTTTGTTTAGCTGCCATATTTGATCCTAGAATTAAAATAACGCGTTTAGAAAATGGTTTAGACACGTTAAGTAAAAATTACGAGACGAAGCATATGCCAATCAACTAGGAGAGATAAGACAGTGTCTTGTAGAGGTATATTTGTAATAGGAAAACAGGTATGAGAACCAGCGAAGAGGCGAAATATCCAAGGAAGTAGCATCGGAAGACACAAATGAAGACTTCGACTCCTAGAGTGCACTTAATGGGCCGAAGAGAACCAAAACCCGAAGCATAGCCTCCTCTTCAGAAGCATTAACAATGAATATATTGTCCTTCATGCAGCTACAGAGTAACGAGCTTCACCAATATTTGGGAACCCCCGACATGCTACCAGTAGATCCACAACAAAGAACCAATTTTGATGTCTTAGAATATTGGAAAACTAGAAAATATATTTTTTTCGGAATTATCAAGACTTGCCTTTGATGTTTTCTCTATTCTTGTCTCAACCGTCTCATCCGAACAAATATTTAGTGCAAGTGGAAGAATTTTAAATGACAGGAGAACTAAACTTTCATCAAAATTGATTGAAGTCCTCACATGTCTTCGACATTAAGAACGGTCGTACCATCATGATCAATACAAGGTTGTTGATGATACTTTAATAAATCATTTCAATTTTGTAATTTAAATGATACAGATGAGGGAGGTCCTAGTCAACCCTCAAATTAGTTGTTTTGAAAATTGTAACTTTGTAATTTATAAATTAACGATCAATTATTGCACTCTTTTTTCCTTATCAAGTTTTTGTCCCAATTGAGTTTTTCTTAGTAAGGTTTTTAATGAGGAAATAATTATTGTAATTTCTTATTTCTTATTTTATTTTTTTATAAATGAATAAATCTAATTTTTTTTATATTACAATTTAATTATATTAAAATTGAATTAATATTTGAAATGTTAGCAAAAAAAATTAATTTAATAAAATTATTGATATTTGAAAAGTTAGCTAAAATAAATTACACAAAAGAAAAAAAATAAAAAAATTATGGGTCAACCCAGCCTCGCTTGCACAAAAACCCATCGGGTTAGAGTTGGTGGGTCGGGCTGGGCCAACCCTTCTGGCCAAAGAGGTGGGCCTAACTCGACCCGTCCTTATTGGAGGGTCGAGTTAGGATCGACCCGCAATTTGGCTTAACCTGCCACGGGCCAGATTGGACGGGTTAATTTTCCACCTTTTAAGTATTGGTGGGGATTGCTAGATTGATGGAAGAGAA